GGCCACGTCCTTCGGAGGTGGGGGCCTATAAAGACCACGTATGGCCACGTTCAACCCCAAGACAAGGGTAGACAAAGCGAAGATGATCAGCCATATTTTGTTCTTTCTTCTCTCTCTAGAAGGTCATGTATATATATAGGACTAAAAGATTGTCAGAAGCAGGACGGTAAACGTTATCATAAAAGTTCATTCTCGTTCAACGTTATCCAGTTTCCCGTGAACGGACTCTGACGTCATCCAGACAATCACAGTCTTATGTTAAACTTCTATGGTCTATAAAAACGTAAAAATAGCATTCTTTTTGGATCAACAGTACACATTCTCTCCAAATGATATAATACAGTGATTTTCGTATTTATTTGTTTTTTTTAATAAAAAAAACAAAAATCCAATTGGAAATCCTTCAGTGGTACAGTGGGATTTAGGGTTTTTAGGGTTTAGGGTTTTCTAGTCGTATACTCGCGGCTGAAGGCCTGAAGTCTGGAAGGCGGGGGAGGTCAGGCCACTGCTCAATCACCAAAAACGGTTTAAAAAGGATAAACGCTCATAACACTCGAAATATATGTTTTTATGTACAGTATATATTTATGCGTTTTTTCATAGCCTCCTAAAAAGAACAGTTTTTTTATTTTCGGCTGGCCGAGGAAGGCCGAATATATTCTTATTTTCGAAAAGTATTTGCAATGTTGGAGTAAACCAAAAGCACTGTACAAACAGTGTCAATATATAATCATAGTCTTCTGAAAAATAAAATTGAACACTGAAGGCGATGATAAAATACAATTTTTATGATATATTAGTCTTGACAACGATTCAACCTACTGTATATGTATTTACGTTGATGTTTAAGTGTAGATAAGACATAGACGAGAGTTAATTGAGGTGTAGCTCGAGTTATATATTTGTAAGTGTCTTCATATTGCTCCATTGTTGACAAAAAGATTACTTACAGACGTATTGTGAGTTTCAAGTCAAAGAGAGTGATTGCATATATAGACGAAGGCTTTTCGTTTATTAGTGATACACAAAGGTGTGTACACACATACACGTGCACACACACATATATATATACATACATATATATATATATATATATATATACGTGTACACACACACACACACACACACACACACACACACACATATATATATANAACTACATACGTC